AATCTTCTTCACAGGAGTACAAGTGTATTTGGTTAAACCCTGTAACAGACTGTATTCCCAGAAAGGCTGCACAACATAAATAAATAAATAAATAGATCAAGGACTGTAATTAGGGTTTGTCCCTGTGAAGTGCTGAGCACAACATTTATTTGTCAGTGCAATTCAGTGAGTTTGAACTTCTTAACCTGGGATTGCCATGTGCCAAAATCAAGGAGTTATAGCACTAGCAATTGGCAAACTCTAAACACAGAAATGTCATAAAAGTGATTGGATCACTAATATGAGGGTGGCTCTGAAAGTAACGCCTCCTGTTTCATGGTGTTGGCCTACAACATCAGAAGCAGATGTTGGTGGTATGACAGTAAGGGCTAAACCTTCCCACCAGTACCCCAGCACATTTTGTTGCTGTGTGACAGATGGCAGCACAGGGGCAGCCTGATAGAATGGTGTCTGACATGGAAGTGCGTGTGAAGCAAAGGTGTGTCACTGAATTCCTCCATGCTGAAAAGAAGTGTGTACACTGACATTCATCAACACTTGCTGAACATCTGTGGAAAGCAAAGTGGATGTGAGCACAAAGAGGCAGTGGGCAGTGTGTTTCAGCAGTGACAACAGCAGCTAAATAATTTCTGAGATGAACTCGGCATGTGGACTTTTTGCAACATCAGTTTTCATGAGGATTACAGTTCTGAATAAGGTGTGCAATATATTTTTCCAGTACAAATATTATCTACAGAGCATACAAATATTTATATCTTATGCTGGAACTGTTTTGCTGTTTTACTGGATAAACCAATTGAAATAATGCAGTGACACCATGATCTTTGCTCAAATATTATCTGTGGCTTTTGCCTTTGATTTTGACAACATGAAGAGAACTTAGTTATCTTCAAGGCCAGAACTAACATTGTGTTCCAGATTTATCTCTAGCATCGCTTGAGAAAAAGTATTGCGAGTCTCAGACTAGCACATGGACTGGTTTGGAATCTAATTCTTAAGGCCTTCCATCTTCCCGTTTCATCTTAGCAAATTCATGTTTCTCAGACCTCCTCAAACCATAGTCTTGTGAAGGTGTAAAAGACAGTGCATCCTGATCTACATGATACTTTTGTTGTGTCTGGAAGTTGACACTGATCATCCTGCAGGTCTGCCTGCCTGAAGGAGTGCAGTTCTTTAGCTAAAGCTGTGCAAGGACTTGGAACATAGATCTGACTGTTGCTAGTATCAGTCTTCTTCACTATAAAAGAGCAAGATTAAGGACATGTATGAATTGGTGAGAATAAATATGAAGTGTCAAAGCAATTGACTGAACAAGCAGTTCAGAAGCAAAATGAATTGTATTTTGCTTATGACCCTGTATTTCAAACTTACATTCAACGCGTTGACCCACCTTGTATATTTTAGTTTTGCATCTTCCTTATGTTGCAGATACTGCATTAGGTGTCTGGCGTCGAGATCGGGATGTGACGTCAGGAGTAGGCATTAACGAGGCGATGTCGGGATGTGGCGCGGCAGGACCTCCCCTGCTCTGTGATGGATGTCTGACGCATGCTTTAGGGGCGTAGACGAAGCACATAGGGTATATAAGCTAGAGCTCACTTGTAATAAATGCCATTTTGCTGTTCACCATATTGGTGTGAATGTCCAGTGATCTGGCCCTGGCCCTGTCATGGCCAGTATCATAGATCCTTAACACTGCATCCTTATGAATTGCATGTTTGAGAAAAACCAACGTGCCTATGAACTTATGCAACTTAAATTTTTATGCAGTCAAAATATAGCATTTATTGAGGATGTGCTCAGCCAAGTTTATGTCTATCAATGGAAATGACCATTTCATCTCTCCTCAGAAATAATGAACATAGTATACAAAGTTGTGGATGTTTCTATATTTTAGCTTGCTCTCTGGAGAGACTTAAATGTAAGTAAGAGGTAATTTGTTGATATGTATCTCTATGGAAGAAATGAAGACAGAGCTAATCTGTGTAACATATGTTAGAAGAGAAATTATGGCATAGTAATACTTATGTTAGAGTTTGAACTCCATTTACCACTTCATACAAGAATAATGCTTTCATTTTGTAATTCATGTTAACTAATTGAAGCTTTGCAGGCATGTGAAAACAAGTCATGATTAAACCTGCAGTTTGCTGTGTAGTGTATCCTTAGGAGCTCTCGTGTTTCTTTAAAGCATATCCTGGGGTACTACTGATTAAACTGTTTAAATGCTTTGTAGTATTTCTACTATTAATTAAAGTATGCAATTGATACCTAAGCATGCCCATCAGCATACAGCTGAAACAGGATTGAAAAGCAATATCAGAGCATAAGAATCTGGAAACAAATCTTAGCTGTAGATTTGAGGCCCACAGGAAGTAACAAGCCTTGAATTCTATGAGTCCAGAAGGAGAATCCTGCACTGATCAGATTTGTTTACAAAAAGGATTATAACTCAACTACTTTTAGCAGACAAGGAAAGTGGAAAAGGTTATATCAACTGCATAACATTTGAGAGAATTTCCATTTAGCATAAAAGTACAAGGAAAGTAGTATAAGGAAATATGGGCCAACGTACTAATTTCTGAGGAGGGGGAAAAATGAAGAACAACCATAAACCAACCAAAAAACATGTAGTGTGAAAAAATTAGATACTGTGAATTAAAATCAGCAAGATACTTAGAAAGTCTTGGAAATCGTTTAGCTCCAAATGATTTGTCTCAATGGCAACTGTTCCTAAGGTATGGTTTTATAGGTATAATTCTGTGCATCTGAAGTTTGAAGAAGGGACATGCCAAATGAATCCACGTGAATCAAGTTCATGCTTCCCCACTAGTACAGTAGATGTAACTTTAAACTGAAATATTAAGAAAATAGCAGTATACTAGAAACATGTCACTTAGCAGGAAAGCAAATTTGTGTAACAGAGGGCATTTACTTTCAGCTTTACATGTATCTCTGTACTGGGACTTTTATGTAAACAGTTTGCTTTTTCAAATTATTTATCTGACTCCTTGGCTTCCAGGTCACATATACAAATACGGATGGCATCTATATTGTAGAAATAACTTGAATTGAAGGTAATAAAAATGTATTTGAAGTTCCAGGCCTTCTAGGTTCGGGAGCTTCCGCTATGTATTTTTGTAACTACCTCTACCTTCACACCAACTACTCATGTACAGTTAGTGCCTTTGAAATGTAACTGGAGGTATTCAGTACTAGTTATATTGTTTTCCCCATAAAGCAGACTGGTTGACTACTGTCTACTCTACAGATGCTTTATTTCATATAAAGTGGTTTCAGCACTGGGCCCATTTATGTGAGAAAGTTAGGGTGGTTTGTGTTGAAACAAGCTTCCTTAGGTGTCTTTTCTAAGGTTATAATGTATAGTAAAGGTTGAATGCAGCAGACTTTTAAATACCTTACAGCCTTACAAAAGCTGATTCAACAGATGCTTAAGTATGTAGTTGAGTTACAAGCAGACCTTAGTTCAAGTGTTTACAGAAACAGAATATCAAGTAGGTGTTTCGCTTCATCTTCCTTTTGGAAATCAATGGCTTAAATTCCCACTGTATGTTTTGGATCACAGATTAAGAAATTATTCTGATAGCGTGAGTGTAAGTGAAAAGAGATCTCTGGGGATGATCCCTGCAAGTATGAATGGGTGCTTGTTCTGAAATTATGTGCAGAAAGCTACTTATAAGCAATATTGGTATCCTCAGAATAGTCTCTGCAAATTATAGCAATAATAAGAACATGTATTCCATTGCAAGACTGCACTGTCTCAGGAAAAGCAGTAAGTCTCTGTTTGCAAAGGTCCAAGCACTTGCCTTGAAGACCCAAATAATTTTCTTAACAAAAACAATAGCTTTATTCCTTGTACTTTCAACAAAAGCAAGACATTGATTATTTGCCCTTTGCATTTGCTTCAGAGTTCTTCCCAGTAACTGAGCTGTATTCACCCATCTTTACAGTAGGCAGACTATCACTCTGAACACGAAATAACAGTTCTTGAATTCCTGGCTGTCCAAAATTTATATACTCTTGAGTATTCTGACCCATGCTGTATCATGCATGTGTTCTCTTTAATAGTTGCATACCTCATCCATGGCCAAGAGGAAAATGCAAAGCAAACAAGTGAAGTAGCTTTGATATGTCGGTCTAGTCAAAATTAAATAACCAAAATGACATGAAGCAGTTATTTACACATCACATAACTAATCAGGAAATGCATTTCACACTTTGAAACTAATTGTGTTTTTGGAATATGTATCTTACTTTTGATTTTTGGCTAAATTAACGCTGCAAGACGCTGTTAGTCTGCATGGGGAAGTTTCCAGTGAGAGAAAACAAAACACCGTCTGTTGGGAGACAGCCAGCTGACCCTGAAATACTGTCACTCTGACTGCTCCTCAGAAGATCCTTCCAGTAATATTGTTTCAGAATAACTGGAAACCACAATCCAAGAGTGAGAGTGGATATTAAAAGCACACAATGGGGCCTTGGTATATTTTATATATAGGTGTATGGCAACAGATCAAAGTGTGATGCTATGTGCTGAGGTTCTGTCTGTTTAAATGCCCTGACTTATTGAATTCCAGAGGAGGAATGCAATCAACATTTTTGTTTTCAGGCCAGAATAGGCACCTGGTGGGAGTCAGAAATAAGACTTTTCTGGAGTCTCAGAAGCTCACAATTGATCAGCAACAAATAGAAAAATCAATCTCAGGTTCTGGAGTGGTGGAGAAAAGAAGTGGAAGGGCTCGGGAGGTATTTTTGATGATTTTGTTATTTAGAAGTGATTGAAAGCAGGAAAGAGAAACTGGAAATGAGTCTGCAGGGCACTAACTAGGAAGGATGACTGAAAAATCATATCAGTCTGTGGAAAGAAGTGAGACTATAGCAAGAAGAAAGAGAAAGACCAGAGAAGTTCTGAGGCGTCATGTAATTTCTCGACACACTCACCATCGTGCCTTCAGTTAACAGGACGAGGAAAATTCCACCTGCCTTCCTTGCTTCTTCCTCCTTGGCCTCTTCTTTCTATGCACCTACCTCCTTGACAGGAGCTAGGTGCTTCTTCCTTGCAACTTTCTTCCTCTGATTCTATGCTTGTCCACTCTCACCCTCCAGAGAGGCGTTGACCTGGCCCTGCACAGACTGGATGGGAAGGATCAGCTGGAGCAGCTGGATGCCTGTTCTCACACAATAGCCCAACTTTTCACACTCTGCAATTGTTTCACCTCCAGCAAATTCAGTTTCCCCAGATCTTGCAAAACAGTTATCAAGGTCACATGCTATTGTTTACTTTGGCTTTGCTAGAAGTTAAACTTGCCAATGGCCACTGCTATTGGTGAAAAAAGCTGCTGATTTCACTGAGTAAAACTTGAATAGCTTCTTAGCAAACCTCATTTTCCTTGGGTGTTTGAACAAGGTCAAAGAACTCATTACCATTTTCTTGCAGAGCTGTTTGGGTGTTGGTAGTATTTGTACAATTTTAAGATGCCTGCTTCAGCTTTTAGACCATACAACAATATAGACATTGCTAGGTTCTTCTCTATTGCTCCCTGCACATTAATTTATTTGAGAGATTTTCCTTCCCCTCTCAAACAAAGCATAATTATAATCAGGATAAACCACATGTAAACCTTTTGGGAACATTCTGTTGTAGCAAGAATTAAGGACATTATTGACTAAACCAGATGGGCAGCATTATGCTATTTGAACAATTTCATTTGCATATGTATGCTGTGCAAAATTAGGTGTAGAAAACACCTAGAGGCAAAGCTGGCTGTAACCTTGTAGTATATTAACTGTCATTCAGGCTTTTTAAGTGTAATAAGCACATAATGAATTCTTGATATGAAAACATGGGCTGAGGCTTATTGCCGTTTAACAAAGGGACAACAACTTAATTGCCCCAGAGCATAGTTCATTGTCAGGTAAGTATTCAGTCTAGGAAGAACAGAGTGTGCTGTGCTATCCTGTCTTGTTCATACTGGAATATGTACCAATTTAATAAAGATGTTAATCAGCTATTGTAGCAAATGTTGAATTTGACCTTTCTGTGGGCAAGGGCAGATCTGTGTTAACTGTTGGTGTATGAGATAATTACAATTAGCCACCATATTTAAAAAGATATGGTGTGTTACTACATTAAAGGATAAGTTCATTTAGTATCTTCTCACCAAAGAGATTCAAAGGAACGCAGGGTTTCTCAAATAGCTGACTTTAAATATCAGCAGGGAATCATAAAAAAGATATTCAGTTGAAATGCACAAGTGAGTTGTCTCGAATCAGGGCATCTGCTAGCACTCCTCACCACTGCCTCTCACTCTGTTAATCTGCTTTGGGACTAACAGTGGAGAAACTTGTAACCAGTTTTCTGTCAGGATAATGGTCTCTCCTGATGGATCTTTTGCAATGTGTTTGTATCATTAAATATTCATTAATAAATTGGAGACATTAAGAAACTAGACCAATTCCCTATACTTTATAGTAAAACCTAATTACAAGCTAAGAATAGAGAGAATGTTTATCTCCTTTATGGTCTCATTTTATATAATCCAAAAGCATCTAGTTACTATTCCGCGTTATTACTCAGAGGAAACTGTAGGCATGTAGTTAATAGAGAAAGTATCAGCTTTTACGTCAGCTCTACTTACTGCAATCCTGGATAAAACACATTTGTTGTACACTCTTCAGATGGCACTCACATTCTATCTTAGCCTGAAAGTTCCTTATAAACCAGTTGTTACTTAAGTTGTTGTACCTACTCACAACACCTGTGCTTCCGTTCAGTATTGTTCTGTTTTGTATTGTATTGTACTGTCAGTTGCCGACAACAGTTCTGTATTGAGTTGCCATTAAATATAAATACCAACATTTTTCTTAGAGATAACTGAAAGCATAGATCTACATATTTCATTGACATTTGGGACATTTGCCTGGTCTGATATTATGTCACGCAGTCTCTTCTTTTGAAGAACTGGAAAATTTCTATCTAGGAGTAAATAGTATAGGAAGAGCCACCATTACCAGCCAAAAGAAGCACTATGAGAGTTTTGATTTCAATTAGTGTGGAAATTTTGTATTACCACTCAGCTATTTTGACTCTTTTGCATGTAATCCAGAAAAAACATCAGGGCAATCCAAAAAAGTTACAAGACAGGAA